AAAAAATCGAAATATAATTGAAGGGCTCTTTTACCATCTTCATCTGGTCTCGACATATCTCGCACTTTGAAGAAGGCAATTAGCGAATTCCTCCAAAAATTTAAAATAAATTCCGCTGACGCTATTAACAAAAAATAAATCTTGTTATGAAAGACAGGTTGGCCAAAAAGGTCTCAAGGGCAATTTTTGCTAATACCAATAATTCTTGGTAATTACCAATACAAGATTGATCTCGAAACGGAGATATCATTCCATTAAATCTGAGGAATCGAGAGAATAATAATAATTTAAAATGGCGCGGTAATGCACATATTCAGTACCCATCAAGGAACTGATACGTCACCATAGAATTAAAATTATTTAAATAATCATTCATAATAAAGTCATTTTTAAACAAATGCAAATTAAATTGTACTTTAATACTTAACAGCCATAAATAATGTTTAAAACATTAGATGAAATTTATGATATTATAAAACCAATTATTTTTAAGTAAGGTGACGTCATTGATTACATCACCACAACAACAATTATATAAAATATTATAACACAAAATTTTTATTTCAAAAAAATATAAAGTTAAAGATTTTAATATTTAGAAGCATAAATAAGTTTGAAACACGGAAGTATGCATAATAAACGCATTATTTGTAATAAAATGACAAAGATCGGTTACCCGAAAAACTTATACAAATGGTTTACCATAAGGTGTATTCTCCAAAGAAAATCGCCAAAAAAAAACGCCAAAACGTGCAACCGTCTAAAAGTAGCCCACCCTCAGTACGTGATTAAATATAGAGGTGAGTACTTTATCTAAGAAATAATTGAATTTTTGTTTTGGTTTGCAATGGAGATCTTATTAAGAAGTGGCCGTTACGAACATCGGTGCTACTTTGGTAGACATTGCACGATTTTTGGCGATTTACGTTGGCGATTATGGCGCGATTTTTACAATCGTCACCATCTTGAAAATGCGTTTTACGCATAGTAAAGTATTCGAAACTTAAAAAAAAAATAAATCGTAAATTAAAGTAATGATTAATTTTTTTGTTGAAAATGTCGTTTTTTAAGATGGCAGGCAAGTGTAAATAAATACATTTACTATGAGTATAAAATACTAAAGTAAGGCTATTATTACTTTCATATAGCAAAAAGAATAGAAAAAAACCGGTATAAACATTGTGCCAACGTTTTAATTAGATTAAAATATACTGAAATTGATATCGAATTAAAAACCATTCTACCAACATTTAAAAGAATTAGAATATCATTAAATTCAAATACTTTAAAATACGTTTATATAGAATATAATTAACATTAAAACATATGGACAATATTCTCAGCAATTTTTGAAAATAGTGTATTAATTTTTTAAACAGTATACAATTATAAAATAAAAGAAAAATATGTCCTTAATTTTTTTAGTCATTTAAAATGCTGTTATTGACAATACCACAAAAAAATCGGAATCATATTTAGATAACATTTTTGAAGGTATCTTTGAAGGAATTCGAGATATGAATTAAATTTTAAAACCGCGCAGAAATGCACATTGTCAGTAACCAATCAGGGAGCTGATTACAGCTCGTTAAGCACAAATATTTAAACCGTCAGAGAGCTTATTACATCACCCTAGAATTAAAAAATTTAAAAATTATACAATAAAACCATTTTTAAAAAAATGCAAAATTAAATGTATTTTATATTTAACAGCCATAAATAATGTTTAAAACATTAGATAAATTTATACATATTAAAACCCAATTACTTTTAAAGTAAGGTGACGTCATTGATTACATCATCCACAACATAAATTCATAAATACGATAAACATAAAATTTTTATTTCAAATAAAGTGCAAAATTAAATTGATTTTAATATTTAGAAGCCATAAATATTTAAAACACGGAATTTATGCACAATAAACACATTATTTTTTTAAATAAATGACAACAAAGTATCGGTTACCAAAATAACAATCCAGCAATGGGTTTACCATAAGTGTATTACTCGCCAAAAGAAAATCGCCAAAAAATCGCCAAAATCCGTGCAACCGTCTACCAAAGTAGCACCCTGAGGGTCACCAAATATTAGATACAGTAAATGTACACCATTTTGTCCATTCATCAACTCATTTCTACCTAAATAATCTCTCAATTTAAACAAAACCAAACAAGTTTATTCTACCAAAATAATTTTTACAGCTGTTGCCACTCAAAGCAAAACTAAAAGGAAATTAATATTACACTGGTTGAATGTACTACATGAACTATGGTATATTTAACAATTCGGTTGGTTAAAAGAGTCCTTTATTCTGTCCTTGCTCACAGATGTGACGCAAAAACATTTTAAATTTGCATTCGATAGCGGACAAAATGAATATTTTCGTCGTAATATGATACCTGGAATTTTTCGTGATTACAGTACTTCATTTACTTCATACAAGGAAGTAAAAAGATTATGAAATCGAAAACGAATGATTGACGATTTTAAATGATATTGAACTCTTATTAAATTCCATTCAAATTTTTAATTCTATAGAATATATGCTATAGAATGCCATTTTCTGACCCCACTAATTTATTTGATTTAAAGTATTAAATTCTAAATCGGAAAATTATTATATACTGAAATCAAATGGTTTATATTTTTGAATAATATTACATTATTATTAAATCTCTCCTAATTTCTTAATTTGTTAATTAATATTGTTAAATATAATACTTACGAAAATTGTTTGTAATAATAATAACATGCTTTCAGGCACTGGATGCATTATTTGGACGATTCGAAAGGGAACCCAATTACGAAACACAATGTAAAGTCAGAGCGAGGGCAAATTTGAGTGGTTTATGCAAAAGAGGTCTATTAGAATACCGTGGAATACTGCAAGATAAAGCCACTAAGATAAGACGATACAGGATTCTGAAACGCGTTGAAGGAAGTGAGTTCTACTTTAATACACATACATACAAGTATATATATATAAAGGTAAAAGATATAAAATTCTTTTTTCTTGAATTCTTACTTTAAAAAAAAAAAATAAAGCACTCACAAATCATCACATGACGATGACATCGTAGACATGCGTTTTCAGTTTCTAAAAATTCGCGTATTCACATAATGATTTGCGATCGCAAGAAGGGATCAATTAACTAATAGATTTTGCTGAAAAATGAGAAGGAAATTTAAGAATTCAGAAACCGAAAATGGGTCAAAAAATAATGCTAATTACACTGGTGTGCAAAAATTAAGGACGAGACGGTTTTTTTTTCAATATAACTTTGTACAAAAGCTTTCCAAGTCAACACATTTAATACCGTAAGATCCCCAATACGTAAGGACATGAGTAATGTAAGCAACACTTACTGAAAGAGAAATCAGAGGGATAAAAAGAAGCTTTATTGAAAAGTAGCAGGAAGCGCAATGAGACTGAAGGCCGAAACATCTCTGTGATGGGTGTCCAGCCAGAAATATCCGGTCCTTAATAGGGGATAATGATCTCCCTTGACTGCTAGGCAGGCTTCACAGCGTCTGCCCGTGCTGAGAATGAGGGTGTCAATGAGTTGTTGAGGCATTGCTGCCCATTCGTCTTGCAGCGCCAATCGAAGCTCCGGAATCGTTACTGGTGGTAAGGTACGAGCTGCCAAGCGTTTGCCTAGAAAATCCCATACATGCTCGATGGGATTGAGATCCGGAGATCGTGCCGGCCAATCCATACGTTCAATATCCTCACTCTCTAAGAGCTGTTCGGCAGCTACTGTGCGATTACATGATGCATTGTCGTCCATGAAAAGGAACTGCGGACCCATAGCGCCTCTAAAAAGACGCACATATGGAAGAAGAATCTCGTTACAATAACGGGTCCCGTTGACTGAACCTGCGTCGAAGATGTAAAGGTCTGTACGACTACCAAGCATGATGCCTCCCCAAACGAGAACACCGCCACCTCCCTACCTGTCCCTTTCAATGATGTTCGAGGGATGATTGCGGCTTCCCCACTCTCTCCAGATGAGTATGCGATGAGAATCGCTACTCAGACTGAATCTGCTCTCACCTGTAAAGAGTACTCGTCCCCATTCATTGTCTCTCCAATTCCGGTGTTCCCGGCACCACAGAGAACGCCTTCTCCGATGGGCAGGCGTTAGAGGTACACACCGTACAGGGCGTCGTGCAAACAGACCACCACCGTGCAGTCTTCTGGCCACGGTAAAACGCGATATCGGTCGTCCAGTCGCCTGTGTCGTGTGTCTAGCGATTTCTCCCACTGTCTTCCCCCTGTTTCTTCTGGCCTGTAAGGCAATATACCGGTCATCTGCGGGTGTGGTTCCTCGTGGACGACCACTACTAAACCCCCGGATAGCTGTTCCTGTAGTTTGAAATTGTCCCCAAAGTCGAAACGATGCTGTGAGCAATTCCGAACTCTGCAGCCACACTTGTCACACTGCGGCCTTCCTCCAACTTCCCAATGATTTGACCTCGGGTAAAAGCATCCAGATGTCGTCTAACAGATTGATTATTCACCATTTCTCGCTGAGGCAGCAACTCGGTGTGATTTTAACTGCTATACGGCGTGCAATCTCTTTGCCAGAAATACTGATCTTACACCGACAACATGCTTTATACTACTCAGACACTCCCCCATTACGTCTACCTGCATATCTGCGCATGTGCTACCGTACATCACCTTACTTAATCTCCTGATTGGTCTTTCTGTCCGCTCTGCCTCTTCGTTCAGCTGATATGCTAATTTTTCGACTTCGTCCTTAATTTTTGGACACCAGTGTATAATAGCTTATAGAATTTTGAACTTACATAGTGAAAAGTTGTTCATTATAAAGTTTTACTGGTAAATGTTTCGTGAAAAATGTAGTCTAAAAAATTAGAAGAACGAAAATGAGTAATTGCATGTAGTATCAAAATTGTTTAATTTATTATCAAATTATAAATTCTGTTAACTTCTCAAAGTAGCATCAATTTTCTACTTATTCGCGCGTTTTCGCCCGCGATGGTTTCGTCTGCAACCGTATAAATCAGTAATTACATCTTATACGTAAATGTGTTATTAAAAATATACACGTTTCAAATTTGATGATGTTTACATATTTACATATGTGGGCTGATGTATCCAATTAGCGTCTTTGAATCTCAAAGTTTGCTTCTGAATTTTTCAGCAAAACATTAATAGCTAATTCAAAACATGAAAAAATAAAAATATTCCTTCTTGCTCTCACAAATCATTATGCGAATCTGCATTTTCAACTTTAAAGCCTGAAAAACGCGTGTGTGCGATGTTATCGTCATGCGGTGATTTGTAGATGCTTTTATCTACCATGGTATTTTGGATTACGATGTTCTTAAAATGCGAAGATTTTTAACCGCTTTATTTTCGACGGCGATATGTAAGCACGATTGTAAATTATTTATTGTTATTAGACAAAATATCTATTGAGAAAATGGCAACAGCTAATTTCTGAATGTCGTTCTATTTATAATTTTAAAAATATATATTGAGATGATGTACGCTTGAATGTTTAACGGTACAATGCAGTAAGTATGTTTGTTATGTTATGTACTTTTACGAATACGTTACGTGTAAGCTATTAAGATTTATCTTTAAATAAATGTTTGTTTGTCTTTTACAACCATTTTATGAGTGATTAATTTAACTACAAAAGGAAGTTAACAGATGTTACAGAACTGCGATGCTTTCTCCTTGTTTTCTTTTCTCCCAAAATGTTTTGTACGACGACATTTTCGTCTTGCTTTGTTTTCTCCGCGGCGTTTTCATGCGCGACGGTTTCGCCTGCAATCGTATAAATCAGTATTCCATCTTGTATGCAAATGGATTATTAAAAATATGTATGTTGCAAATTTGATGATGTTTACATATTTACGATGTTGGCTGATAGAGGTATTTTACTAGCGTATTATCTTATCTTATTAGGCGTACCTTATGTGCGTTTCGCAATAACGAGTTAATCAGCCACCTTCACTGTTACTATTATTCCACAAACATTTTGACATAAAACGACAGGAATCTAGTTGTCAACACAAAAGTTACATTTAACTGAAAAGTGTAAACTTCTCCTTACTCAAATGAGATTTTTATTTATCACAGGTATAAACTCTAAAACAATGAAAAAAGTGTCTCCTTCTACAACGAGTGGATCTCTTTCTCTAAACGTTGTACGCACTGCGAAATCCAGCTTGCAGGTAAGCTAAAATACTGAAAAAATTATCTTAATTTTAATCACGTATGTATAATGAATTAAAAAAATGGTACTTTTCCGTTTCGCCGGCGCAAATATCGCCAAGCAGACTTTATTGGCGACAACATACATTATACACACAAAAAATATTAAAAAAATGTTAGTCCTAAGAATTCTTTTTTTGAAGGCATAAACATTTTAATATCGCTTAAAATTTTATAAAAAGCCAATAAATAAAGACAATAAATTTATAAAAAGACATTAATTTAAGAATTTACTATGCTTTCATGGTTCAACATCCCGTTTCGCCGGTTCATATCACGTGATCCCAAGCGATCTCATCTCACGTATACTACTCTACAAAAATATAATGCTCTCAGTAATTATCTACATTAATTTCAAGTTAAATCTTAATTTGGAACACAAGTTTAAATGCAAGAAATACTTCAATTCGTACGAATAGCTTACTCAGAAATTATGTAAAACTGCAGTGCTTTACTTCGCTAATGCATTCTCATTAGAATGGATGAATTTAACCCTTGACTTTACCTTTTCTATATTTTCGGTTTCGGGTAAGCGCTGTGATTGCATCCTAATTGATTTAATTGCCGAAAATGGCCTTAGACATAAAACTGAACTATTTGAATGAGGCGTAAAAGGTTACCAGCGAGAATATTCCGTTTGGCATCGGTTGTACCATTATTGGCGACTTTATCGCTTGCGCCGGTAAAACGGAAAAGTACCAAAAAAATTATCACATATTAAACACTGGTTACAATTCTATTTGCTTTGATGGATGACGATACTGAACATGCTGGTTTTTTAATTGCCCGGCGTTTCAAAAGCCCGTTCATTGTGAATTCGTCACAGATTATCATAACTTTAGTCAAAGAGAAAAACCTGAGAAAATCACCTTTCTCGGGTTAATGTTGTAAAGTTATTAGGTTTTTTTATGGTTGGAGACGTGAAAAATGAGCTATGCCTTCATTAAGACTCGAACCTGAGCTTCTCGAATACGTGCTGGGCGTGCTACCGTTATACGACGACAGCTTGCAGGAAGAAGAGAGAAAATACCTTACAGACTCTCTCTTTTAAAGAGTGACTGGAGATTAGGGGATCCAATTTCGAAATCATGTCAGCGGCGAATTATTGTCCACCACCTTTAATTTTCGGCGCAAATGAAGAGTCACTAGGTTATTTTGAAACAGAGGACAGGAAAAATAGCGATGCCTTCACCGGGACTCGAACTTGACTTTTGAATATGTGCCGACTATGCTACCTTTACACCACGAAGACATACTGGAAGGCGGAAGAAAATACCTTACTTCGCCATTAGAGGGCGACTGGGGATTAAAGGACCCTATCGTTAAATCTTGTTGGTGATGAGTTATCGTCCGCCAACTTTTAATTCCTGCGCAACTGTAGAGTCATTATTTTTTTATGCTGGAGACGTGAAAATTTAACAATACCCTTGCCGGGGCTCGAGCCTAGGCCTCTCGAATACGCGCCGAGTGTGCTACCGTTACACCACGAAAGCTTGCTGGAAGGAGGGAGAATATACTTTATAATGTCATATAATGTAATCACAAAATCTGAACCATGATTGCGGTGAATATCTGGATCACAAAATCTGAACCATGATTGTGGATATCTGAATCACAAAAGCTGAACCATGATTGCTGATATCTGGATCCCATAATCTGAACGATGATTGTGGATATCTGAATCACAAAATCTGAACCATGATTGCTGATATCTGGATCACAAAATCTGAACCATGATTGTGGATATCTGAATCACAAAAGCTGACCCATGATTGTGGATATCTGGATCACAAAATCTGAACCATGATTGTAGATATCTGAATCACAAAATCTGAACCATGATTTCTGATATCTGAATCACAAAATCTGAACCATGATTGTGGATAACTGGATAACAAAATCTGACCCATGATTGTGGATATCTGGATCACAAAATCTGAACCATGACTGTGGAAGTTCGTTGACTAAACGTAATTTTTTCCGTTTTTCCCGTATTTTAAACGTGGGGTATACGATATGTTGTAAAAGAGTGTAGAATCACTAGAATTTATTTCGATGTCAGGAAAGGGAAGGCATTCGCAGTGCCCTCACCAGAATGCGAACTCCAGATCTCTCGAAAACGCGTTGAATGTGCTTCCAGTTACACCACGAAGGAATGCGAAAAGGTGCGACCATGGGACATTCCCCCCGAGTGTTCTTCCTCAAAATTGGGGTGGAAATAGAAGTCCAACCTCCTTGAGGCCCTGACAACATGAAATTCTTGGACAAGAAAACAACAACTTAAAAAATTATATCACAGTTTTGGGCTTTGTCATTTGTTTATAGTATTATATAAAGAATAACGATAACATAGTAATTGCAGTAATAGATATTTTCTTACGGAAAGAAACCTGGAACCATTTTCCCGTTAGTTGAATTTTAACTTGAGGCCGCTATTTCACTGATGATGGAAAAAGTTGCAATAAGATAAAATAGCCACTTGACTCATATTTTTTTTACATGTAACCGCGTTGAAGAAAATACCCAGAAAGTCTAATTATGTTTTAAACTAATCATGTTATGAACTGTATAGAGTTGGCTCTTTGACTTTTGGGAAACATTTCGAGACTCTGAAAGGAGCTAAACGATTTACTGCTCTGTCCAGTAAGAAACAGGTATCCTAAGAAGGGAGTAAAAGACACTTTTATTAAAAAATCAAGTAGTTTAACATGAGGCACTTCTTGTGCTTTGAAAACTAACCAGGATTTATGGCGTCGGAAATGTAAATTTTTGAGTTGTACATTTCAAATTCCAAAAGAATAAGTACAGGGTTTAGCAAACTCATAACTGTAGATTGAGTATTATAATCCTTTTAACTTATACTCAGAAGTTACTAAAATGTGGACTTTTGAATAAAGTTTTGAGCCGTACATTCCATTTTCCAAAAGATTGAGCAGAGAATCTATCAAACTCATAATTGTAGATCAATTAAGTATTATATTCTTTTTTAACTTACAAATAGAAGTTACTCAAAATTGTGATACTTTTGAGCAAATGTTTTAGTTGTACATTTCGCATTCCAAAGGATTAAGCAGAGAATTTAGCAAACTTATTACTATAGATTAATTGAGTATTATATTCATTTTAACTTACCTTTATAGATTTCATTGCTTCTTTCATGAATACGTAGTTTACGAATCTACTAATCCAAACATTTCATGTATCACTGAGAAACTATTAATTATATGTAGAATTAATTTAAATTATGCCTTTATGTTACAAAATAAAATTGATGATGCTACAGGAATATGGGAACTTTCGGATTGTTTGCACTTCCATAAAACGTCACCACTACATTGCTGACTTTGTGTATTGGAGGAAAACGTTTGTCAGCTGTCGTGTGAACTCACGATTATATTGTTACGAATTTAGTATTTAAAAAGCTAATGTTAGTTCAATTATAAATTAAATGGTTTTATTTCTCGCGCAGTGCAGCGCGTGACGAATATTAAAAGAAAGCTAAGCCGGAAAATTGAAAATACAAGAGCGCGTGCATTAAATAAATAAATATCTCTTTTTGATTTCGAGAAAGTACTGGAAAGTTCTAGCGCGTGATTTTAAAATCTTATAAAAGGAGGAAAACATCTCAGTTTGTAGTTAGTTGCTTAGTTTGTTGTGGTTTAGAAAACTGCTCTTGTTGATTGTAGCGAATTCGCGGATTAGCGTTCTTTAGCTGTTTTGAATTATGTTCTATTGGACATTTGAGTAGTTAAAAGATAACTACTGTGAGATATTGTAATACTGCATGATAATTTGAGAAAATTTAAGCATTTTTGTTGTGATAATAATAAATTTTTGTTCATTTTTCATCGGACTTGTGCATTCATTTCATAACGAACCCGTACGCACGCAACAATATTTTCTTTAATAAATAGCAACAAAGAGCATTTCCTAATAAACAAGAGATTTTATGACGAAAGATAAAATTATAGAGCCGACATTTGCATTTTTAAACCCAGTGAAAAAAACAACTTCCCCTCGGGGGGGGGCACTGACTACAGTTGCAATTTATATAAGTTGTAGGCACGTTTTGAGATTAGGTTTTCGAAAGCAGTGGTTTTAATAGATATTTATTAGCAATATTAAGCTTAAACAACAAGATATTATAATTTCAACCTAACTCCTAGAGGGAAACTGCAAAATGAGTTATATAAGGAGATTAATTTTATCATCAATTATACTTCTTTTTGCAGCAACCAGTCGGTCATCCATGTGTTTACATCTATCAAGCTGAGAGTGAAATGCAGAAGAGTGAAAGTCAATCAAGCGAAATAACAGAAAATGTAAGTCTTACCTCGTATATTCTGAAGCTAAATTTATAGCAACTATTGAATTTTTATACAAAGACATCCCTTAAAGTGAATTTTTCACATAGCCATTAGCTTTAAACATTTTAACAGCCTCTAAAATTAAGCAAACACACCAACCATGTTTTTGAAATGAGACTCTATCGATTTTGAGAGCGATCAGACACAGGTCACCGTTTTACTACAGCAGTGGTATTCAAACTTTATAGACTCTCAGAACCCTTAGAACTATAAATTTTTGTTTTCGTAGAATCCCACAATACCATTAGAAACATATATCTTAAAATAATATTTGAAGTCGATCAATATATTATATGGTAAGTGAGTATGTGATAGGTGTAAGCTCACGACTTTGAAACGCGTAGTCACTGCAAGATAGATTTTTTAATATGGTAAATAGCAACAAAAAGATAAATTTTTCAACACAGTTGGAATGTGTCTGACTGGGGCTGGGGCAATATCATGTTTACTGATGAGTCGAGATTTGCTCTGGAGCCAGATGACAAGCGTATAACGATATGGCGTGAACAACGAACACGCAATCAATCCCAGAACATCACCGAACATCACGCATTCCGAGGCGGAAGCATTATGGTGTGGGCAGGGATTTCATTAGGATACCGCACCGACCTGCACATTTTTAAACGGGGCTCTTTGACGGCTGTCCGGTATCGAGATGAAGTCCTAGAAACCATTGTGAAATTGTACGCTGGAGCAGTTGGCCTTACTTTTGTTTTAATGGACGATAACGCACATCCCCATAGAGCTGACATCGGCGATGACTACCTGGAGAGTGAAGGGATTGCGCGTATGGCATGGCCAGCATATTCGTCCGACCTTAATCCCATTGAAAATCTTTGGGATGCTCTCGGCCGGGCTGTATCTTTACGTTTCCCACCTCCAGCCACTCTTATTGAGCTGGAAACTGCTCTACAATTCTGGCAAGCATACCGCCTAAATTCTAAAAACTTTGTAAAGCAGTTTCCAGCTCAATAAGAATGGCAATTGCTTAATTCTGCGGTGGTTGACCACCTAATTGAAAGCATGGTCACAAGATGTAAACTTTGTATACAGATGAGGGGGGATCACATCCCTATTAATGTCCTTTTTTTCACTTTATACATAATTCTGTTTAAGTCTCCAGTATGTCATTATCTGATAACTACAAAAATTAATTATTGTTTTTATTTCTGTATATAATTATTGATTTTGTTTTATGCATAAGTATATATGCTACTTTCCTGCCGAATTTTGTGTCAGTCAAAGCAGTATTTGTTGGTTTTTTTTTGCATTTTACATCTTTGTGCTTAACTTTTGGAAGTGAGTGTATATTAGATTCATTTATAGCATTGTTCTAGCATAAGTACGTATTTTGACACAAAATCGGACTTTTACTGAAACAACATACCAATTTCTTTCAATATTTGGATTCTACGACTCGAATTATGCCAAAGTGTCAAGTTTTGTAAAAATCGTCCGAGAAGTTTTTAAAAAATTAACTCTCAAAATTTTAGCACCTCCATGTTAATTGAATTTGGTATATATTTATTAATGTCTGATTTTTAATTAAACTTATTTGATTCTTCCTTTCAGATTTCGAAATTTAGGGTCATTCCAAATAAAATTCGCCCATTTTTTATGAACTGACGTCATATACGAGCATTTTAACTAACGAGCTCTTTCACAGAACGAATTAAATTTGTATCTCAAAGTGCCATTGCATACGTTTTGCTGCAACAGTTCTGTAAATTTGGGGACATTTTTGTGTGAATGAACATTTGTGCGGTTGAGCATAATGTAAAATGGATCTCGTTTAGTAATGTAAATTCTAAGGAAAAACTATACTTTACTGTACTTGTTTTCTTTTAATGAAAGGCTAGAATAAAAAAATTATTATATGTGATTAGCTCGTTAAGTGAGTACTCGTTAAAGTCATGCATGATTCAAAAGCAAATGAACTAAAAATACAGGAGGGAAAAGAAATATACTGTTGACAAACAATCTTAGGTGACAAACATCAATTATTCTGAATGCTTTTGACAAACCGTCCGTTCTCCTCTGCGTAATGAGACCTGTTTAACGTTTTTCATAAATACTATTTCTTTAAAACGTAAGCAAATTTAATGGTAGCTGCAATAAACGTTTTGATGCAAATGTGTGGCATCTCGTTTATGCATTAATAAGTAACAGTATTGAAGAAATTCTCAGATTTGTTGTCTAATGTTCCAATATTTATTGTTCCGCGAAATAAATGGTCAAGAACGTGTCTTAGTATACTGGAGCAAATGTCTATATAAACCGGAGTGCCAGTGTCAACAGGACAGAGTTGTTCACAATAGTTAAAGTCGTAGAACATTTCCATCGTTATCCCTCCGACAGAAAATTCCTGCCCCGCTTAGATCATACATCCTTGACTTGGCTTTTAAATTTCCAAGATACTGAATGCCCAAACAGCCAGATGGATACAGAGACTCCAAGAATATCACATAAAATATCTGTCTTGGGAAAGGATCGTTGCATGGAAACATCAAACTCTTTCCAGAAGACCCTGTCCGGAAAGTTTCTGATATTGTTCGAGGGACATTATACAAATGTTCCAGAGCAAAATACAAGCTGGTAAAATTAGTGGTCGTATGTCAAGTTATGAATTCAACGTCGTCGGACCAAGGCCTATGGAGTGACTAAGAAGTCGGGAAAGACTAATTGGAAGACGGCGACATTAACCCATAACAGATTTAATGAAATCTTAAATTTAACATCAAACAGGAACATCAAACAGGAAATCATCAAACAGGAAATCTACATGGCAGAACATTTCGATCTATGGTCCTACGACGAAACAACATTGCGCTCTCTGGCATTTATTCTATATTCGAAACATCGTCTTGTGCCGAATGTTTGAGTTTGATGATGGAAAGGCATTCCGAAGGCACCTGACACTTCCAAGATTCTACATCCCTGCCGTCCTTAAAGAATTACACAGCAGTCCAAAAGGACGTCACTTCGGAATAATGACGATGCTACACAGAGTTCGAGAGAGTTTCTGCCGGAGTAATGTAAGGGATGACGTGCAAAAGTGGTGCCGATCTTGCGATGCCTGTGCGAGTCGGAAAGGTCCGAAGAAACATAGCCAAGGGAAACTGCAACGTTACAATATAGGACGCCTTTTGAAAGTATTGCTTTTGACATCCTGGGACTTCTGCCACAAACAAAATGCTAGTGGCAACAAATACATCCTCTTTGTCATTGATTACTTCGCCAAGTGGCCTGAAGGTATCCTAGAGTGTTAGCTACCAAGAGGTATCCTAGAGCCTGAAGCTACCAAGAGGCTGTATCTGTAGCACAGGCGATGATGCAACATTGGATTTCTAGGTTCGAAGCGTCTCTTCAGTTATATTCCTAGGAAGAAAGAAATTTTTTCTCGGCTGTAATTAAAGAGCTCTGCAAGGCTACTCGGAATCGACAAAACTCACATATCCTGATTCAGACGGCATGGTAGAGATATTTAATAGAACCATCCTTAACAACCTCTCGCTGCTGATTTTCAAAAACCAAAAGCACTGGGACAAGAAATTATCAATATTTTTGCTGTCCTGTGGCAGTGCTGTCCACAAGACTACTGGGTATTCCTATCGCAGATGATCTTTGGTTGTATAGTACGTCTGAATGGCGAATTCTTGTTTGGTTATTCTCCGGATGCACTTTCATCTCCTGAAGCGTACATCCAAGATCTCTAGGCAAGTTTTGAAGCGATACAGAATTTTGCAAGAGAGCGAGTCAACTTGACCTTTCGGCGGAGAAGATGAAGACCCGCTATGACACTGGAGCTACAGGACATCGAATTAACCAACGTGGCAAGGTGTGGTTATGAAGTCCGATTCGAAGGAAAGGATTCTGTCCTAAATTACATCCCCCCGAGGGGTTGACTCAGGAGAATGCCTGGGAAGTACTAGTTAGGATCTGTACCTAGGCAGTTTCAACCAATGGGGTATATAATTTGGCTTCACAGGACTAGAACCCGAGTATTGTACTCAGGTTGGTTCAGGCTTGGCAGGGACCGTACTGGTACTGTCGTGTCTGTTCCTTCGGCTGCGGTGGGGCTAGATCAGAGATCGTTGACCTAATTTTCAGGGGGGTTTGACCCCATTCAGTTCTCGTGACGGGGAGTGACTGAGTGGACAGAGCACTCATATCTACGATTGTTTGGCCGATGGAGTGGTGCCCGGAGGCAAACTAAGTTCTTTTCATATCTGCTGCTTTCATATCATGCTTCGTTCTGTCCACTGCTTTGTATAAAGCCGGGCGGCGACTGCAAGGGTTGCGCCCGCGAGGATGAGGGACCATAGATATCTGTATGTGTCCGCAAGTCAGACCTGGGCCGAAGGTCTATGTTGTCTGGTGCGTCTGTCTGTCTTAAACTACAGTCACCGCGAGGCTGAAAACAAACAGGCTGAACGACGTCGTAGTTTGGAACCGTACGTCATCGAATTCTAAGCCTAAAGTCGTTCGTTACGATAGGCTAGATCATTACTATGGCCATAGTACATAGTGTACATAATGTAAATAGTATAAGAGCATGTGTGTACTCCTTTATTGAATTAGTGTTTAATGTGTTTTATGTTATTTAGTGAAATTATTGTTTTAGTCTTGCATTAATTTTCCCTGGTTGAAACTATGGCTTTCTATCCAGCCATTGTACTCAGCGGAACAGAGAGACCTTGGGAAGAGGAAAACATTACGAATTTCGTACATGGATAGACAATTTTTGCGAAATTACATGTAAAATTGCTGTATTTTTCTGTATAATGTAACATGAAAAGCTTGAGAGAGAAGATGATCTGCCGGAAAAGTATGCATACAGAGGGAAGACTTTTTTAACATTGAGTAAATGGCTATATCGGCAAGATATCTCCAAGCTACGGAGGATTTTACGAGCAGATTTTGTCTTCAAATTTGGCGACAGATTGCCAAAAGTCGCCGAACTTGCAATCATTTGCGACCATTTTTTGTCCGGTCCCCGTATAACATTATGAGTACTGTAACTGAATAACTGTAATTGATCCCCTATGTAACTGTAACCGTAATTCAGAGAGTGCATCAGTAGGATTTGTTTAGTTCAGCTTGAGTTCGGAATAATTAGACATCTCTGTGAAAGCTTTGCCCTTTGAATGAGCTTTGCTTTGGTTTATGTTTTAACGTTCTTAGTAGTTTGAATGGCCATTATTATTTTTGAATAGATTTCTGGATTAAAAAAATATATATCATATTCATTAATTCAGTATTTAAAATTTGATGATAATAATGTGAACGTGTTTTAAAAACCTCTTAGTATTTAATGCGAAATCCTCAAATGGCTTAATAATTAATATGCTTAATATTCACACATTCAAAATTTCAGAATTGCTGAAATTTCCTTAACACTTTAAAATATATCTTTCAGTACTCATTGCAATACCCTCAAATGGCTTGCGCCAGTTCACCTTCTGGAAGTGACATCCCAACCTCTCTAGTATCTGACCACACCAGAGAGGCACCAAACGTAAGTATTAATTATGTATTTATACAAAGTTATAAAATGACATTATGGTTTGTGGATAATATTCTGGTTTCATAATTCTGTATGGTATTCATTCATTCAACATTTAATACTTGCTTTCAAAAGATTCGAATGTTTATTAAGAAATATTTTTTAGTATTCATTGGAATTCTCTCAAATGGCTTGGGACACTTCTCCTTTTAGAAGTGAAATCGTAACCTCTCTAGTACCTGACCACACCAGAGAGGCAGCCAACGTAAGTTTTAATTATGTATTTATATAAAGCTGTAGGGTTTATATTTATTTTAACTAACATTTATTTTAAGTTTAAACTATCTTTCCTGTCAAGCCTTACTTTCCCCTGGAATTGCCAATGCCAGAGTATGTAAATTTTAGTAGAACGCGCAAAGATTCAAATTATCAGCGGAAGTATTCTGAGTTAAATAGAAAGGAAACGAGTTCGAAAGTGGGCTTTCTTGCTTCACGAGTGTGGAGGTGGCTAGTTAGAAATTGAAGAATCACGCGTTTCGGCCCGTGTGCTTGCCTCGACAAATTGTTAATCTTTCAACGTAATATTCAGAGTTTGCTGAATTATCAGCGGTATTTTAGAACGCGGTGAGGTTAGTTACGTTTAGAGAGCCTCGTAGTTAGTCACTTGTTAGTATCTCTTTTTAGTTTCTTATTTTTATTTTATCGCCGGGTCGGCGTAGTTTATGAGCGTCAAGAGCACGCATTTGTAACTTCTAAAGTTGAATAAAAGGGATTTAAACCCTTCTCAAGACTTTGGTCTATTTCCTGTTCTCAGCCGTCACCACTTTGTTGCGTGCAGGTTGGAAGCGCGCAACTTTACAAAGTTATAAAATGACATTATGGTTTTTGGATAATATTCCGGTTTAATAGTTCTGTATGGTACTCATTCATTCAACATTTAATACTTGCTTTCAAAAGATTCGAATGTTTATTAAGAAATATTTTTTAGTATTCACTGGAATCCTCTCAAACGGCTTGGGACACTTCTCCTTTTAGAAGTGAAATCGTAACCTCTCTAGTACCTGACCACACCAGAGAGGCACCCAACGTAAGTTTTAATTATTTATTTATAAAGTTATAAAATGACATTATGATTTTTGGATAGTATTCTGGTTTAATAATTCTGTACGGTATTCATTCATTCAACATTTAATACTTGCTGAAAATGTTTTCAAAAGATTCGAATGTTTATTAAGAACTATTTTTTAGTACCTATTGGGATCCTCTCAAACGGCTTGGGGCAGTTCTCCTTCCAGAAGTGATATCCTAACCTCTCTCGTGTCTGACCATACCAGAGACGCATTCAACGTAAGTTTCAATTATTTATTTATATAAAGTTATAAAATGACTATTAAGGTTTCTGGATAGCTTTGTGGTTTTATATTTATGAGTGGCATTAATTATTTAACATTCAAATCTTTCTAAAAATGTATTCAACAATTAAAATAAATTTTAGAATTCATTGGGATGCGCTCAAACGGATTTGGCCAGTTCTCCTTCTGGCAGTGAATTCCTACAACAAAATACTGATTTTGACCAGTTTTTACCCTCTCCATTATCTGACGGAACCAGGGAGGCATTCAATGTAAGTGTCAAATTTGTATTTAGATAACGTTATAAGATGACCATTATGGTTTCTGGATAGGTTTGTGGTTTAATAATTATGCATGGATTTCTTTCAGTGAACATTTAAAACTGCCGCCCAAAAGAGATAGCACTTAGTTACTCTGACTGCCGTTTCATTGGGCCTGGATTCGAATCCCGGAGAAGGCATGTGTTTTTGTAAGTGGATAGTGTCTTTCGGTCATGGGGACGCTTTTAATAATTGGCGAACCGAAACATCTCGCCTGGACTGGTGTTAGGGGATGAGGCATAAGAGAACTTCAAATCCGCCATCCGGTGTGTACTTCCTTAAAATTGCGGGAGAGGGAATTGGGCAGAATCGCATTGGCACCTATATGGCGCGCAAGTGTCTTTATATATTTTTCCTCAGACGATTTGTTGACATTTATAAATCTAAAAATGATTATTCATAAATTAATAACTATGTACTTGCATATATAAAATACTTTTGAAAGCTATAAGAATAATTTTCTCCTCATTAATTGCTACGATATACCAACGGTTATGAAATTATTACTTTGCTTGGAAAATATTACTTATAGAAACCAGTATCTTAAAATTGCCTCTGGTATAAGAAATCACAGGTTCTTTAGGTACCAGTTTTTAAATAACAGTGGGATGGGACCGATCAGTAGCACATCAAAGTGAGTTTCACAATTGATGTTCCAAATTCAAATGATTTGAACTTTCTTTTGAAAATGAAGTCATTTGATTTTCCAAATTATGTTATTTTGGAATTCTTGGGTCCATGAACGATGTACTTATGTATCGTTTAATGATATCAGTGTAAAGGAAGTATTTGACGAATAATAAAAAAAAAAGAACTGATGTCATTTTTTTTCAATTTAAATTGATCCTGATTAAACAAGTGCCTTCACATTTGCTGTCGCAACTTAAATCGCATTTGTACAGTACATAAAAACTGTGTTCCGTTAAGTTAACTTTCAACGAAAAAGATTAGTTAGGTAAAACTCAGATTAAGAAAATTTGTGCAAGTTAAACAAACTTAAATGGCGTCCAGAGTAAAAGGATAAAATGAAACTAATGTTAATTGAAAGGAATTTTATTAGTGCTTAATAAGTGTATAACGCCATTATTTTTTTTAAAACAAATTGGTGATTTTTTACTTGGGACAATGACTGATAAAACTCTTTAAAAGTTTCGCGGTGAGAAGCCCGGAGTTTTTCAATGTCGCTCATAAGTGTCCTCTGCTTTCTTCACTTGAGTCAATCTCCATCTTAAAGTCAAGCAGTTCATTTAGCTTCCTGTAGTTTAAAAGCGTTTTTCCTTCTTCTTCAGTAGCGTTGTCACCCTGTCGGTTGGTTTGAAAGATAATCCAGATCTTCAGTCGTCATTTCACTATCATTATCATTCTCGATTAATTCTTTGACTTCAACTTCTTGCATATCTGAAAATCCTTCGCCGAAAATTGCTTTTACAATTCGTATGATTTCTTTAACTTCATTTTTAGTCGATAGAAGTCCTTTAAAATTATTGATAACTTTTGGCCAGAGTTGGTGGCAGTAAACATTCAATACTGATGAATGAACGTTGAAACGCGTATGAATGAAAGTCTAGCTTTGGATAAATTAAATGGAAGCAATTAAGATAACGTATATAAACGAAATCGCGCCATGCTCGGTAAGGGTTACTGTAGTATCTAAAAATCAAGCACGCTAAGTTAATAGTTATTATAATCACGGATGCTCATTGTAGATGCGCATTTATTGTATTTACAAATGGATTTCTTAATATTTGTCTTTATTTTTATTTTTTTTTTTTTCAGATTTCACCATTACCAGATCTGGAAGATTTTGGTAAGTAAACTTTTAATATTTTAGTGTGAATTTGAATTTAAATAAAATTTAGTTTCGCATGTGAAACCTTTGTCCTTTCTAATGTCTCAGCTAATTCAGATAGTCGTGCATTGATAAATGATTTAACACATTAGTCACCATGGAGGTCACCGGTAACCGATGACTGGTTATTTCAGTAGCGTCGGTCATAGGTGACCGGTAGTAGTAGATTGATCATTGAACTGTAGTTCAGGACTGCCAACAACATTCTGTGCGTTTTACTATATAAAGAGGACGTGATCTTTTCGCCTCTGAATATTACTTGAAAGAATATAATATGTGCACATTTATGAAAGAATGAGTGTGAAAAGAATTGCGAATATTTGAAATAAATATATAAATAATTATAATACAAAAGATCAATATAATAAAAAAATTGCAAAATTTTAGATTTTTAACTGTTGCCAAAAGTGTTTGTTAAGGTTTTTTACGTTCTCGTTGGGCACGCAGTCTACCAGGCTGTTGTTACACTCGCTCCTACTAACCAATTTTTTTTGGCTTTTTAACTTTTTTCAAGCTTCATTTTCTTTACACTTACCCTATATGCAATTCAAGAGCAAAATTACAAAAATTTTAAAAATAGCATAGCAATATACATTTAGAATAGCTGCAGGACTGGGAATGTCGGAGAAGGCCCACCACCGTCGAAATATCTATCTCGAACATGGAGTTAAGAAAGGAAGGAGTGGTCAAATCGGCATTAGATGTGAAGCACTGTTCCGAAGCTTCGGTCACCAGATGGGGTGTTATTTGTTTACATTCAGAAGCTCGCTTGACAGCGCTCTGATAGAATTTCGACACACGACAGTTCCATACAAATCGAAAAACCTGACAATTCCGCATAAAAGAAACATTCCTAGTATGATGGATAATAACAATTTGTATAGTTTAGCGACATTTACGCAAAAACCACATCTTGGTTATTTTTCGATAACTAACAATAGCGATTTTGATTATGAATTTGTTTCATAAAATTCTCAGCTATTGAACTATAAAAATATAGATTTTAGCAAAAAAGTTATGCTTAAAGAATGAAAAATACCTCACCGTACTTTTAAAATTGTATACATTTTTCGATACCCTTAATACGGTATTCGCTACTTTTATTTTATGTTTCAAATAAAATTAATTTTTTTTTCACATCCACATATTATTGTAACATGTACTTTTTAAATTTAGTGTAAATTAGTTTACTCGAAAAATATAGTGAATGCACAGAAATTAAAGATTTCCACATGCCGGAAATGAAAAATATGAAATATGTATGCGTATTTATGCATGTGCTTCCAAAAAGCATGTATCTGCCTTTAACAAAATAAGTAAATATTTATTAAATTATTTATAAATGTATTTGAAATGAAGGATTTATTCATTCATAAATAACTGTGAAAGTTACTGTGAAGAAATCTAATTATTAAATGTATCTAAATTTATAATGATTATAAATATTATCTAAATATATAATAACCTTAACATTGAATTGTAAACATAAATTGACATCCTGTTGACAAATACATTATAAAACTAGTTAAGCAAGAATTGTTCGTAATGGAAAGCAATCTGTTAAAAGGTATTGTAAAGCAAATGCTATGAGATGCGTATTTAAAAAAGTAATAAAGAAGAGTTTTGGAATATGTATTGTTGAAATTAAGGGTAAAAAAATCTAATAAGTATAATTAAAAGAATTATTCCCCTTACATTTTATAATAAGTCAGTTACAAGTTTTAAGTAATATTTAAAAAATAATCCTTACTGTATTCCCTTTCAGAAATATTCAGAGAAAATTAAGTACTATTTAAAGTATTTCGTTATTAAATTAACAGGTGCTCTAATTTGAAATGGACCGAATAGAGCATTAATTATAAACTGACTTATAGTTTTCGATTTAAAAGATACCTGAGAAGCTAAAAAATCATGTCATATTTGAGAAAGCATTTTAGGAAGAATCTCTATAAATAAAAAAGAAATAATGCATAATTTTAAATATGCAATAAACTTTGATCTTAATTTTTGTAATCCTTAACCGAATCAAATCGAATTACCTTAATTTTTTTTTCTAATGTAATTAACGAAAACTTGTGAAAATATTTCAAATTAAACCATTCTGAGCAAACTGTTCTGTGAAAAGTATAGCATTTAATTCAGTTCAGAATGAAATGTTGTTTAAAAATGTATTCTTTTCATATACTTAGGACTCTGAAGTATTATAGGAAAAGAAAATATATACATTTATATGCATATTTACGAAGTATTTACAAAATATTTACATCCGATCGTGTCAAAACCCATTGAACTCAATGGTAAATTACCCAATGTTTTGGTCACCAAAGAAATGATCGCCAGTGCTTCAAATCAGGGTATGGGGAAACCGGTTTAGGGCCACGCCATCTAACTTTCTACCTCCATGATCTCGAAATAGTAGTGGAAGGGGCTGTACTTGCGTGAAAACAACAGGTAGGAAAGCTCCTGGCGCCATCTGTTGACAAAATGTGCAAAAAAAACTATGAAAAATTTCCTTAAAACTGAAGGCAAAATACAGCTTAGAATTGAGTTCGTTTGCAAATTTATGCAAACTACGCTAACTTTCGTTACGTCATTATCTCCAATATTTGTTCTTCAGTTTGCTGTTTTAGTTAATATTACTTCTTCAATACGTAGTTATCTTGAATGTGTACGGAGCTTTCTTAATTTTTAGGCTATTAGTCTAAAAAAAAAAAAAAAGATTTTGCGTTATTTGGCTTTATTTTACTAATTCTCTTTTCACTTAGTACGTTGCCATTCGGGAGAATGTAAGATATTTATCTTTCAAATTTAATCTGCCTGTTACTGATGAACAAACTAAGCTATTTAAAAGTAATAGATGTAGATCCTGAATATAGTATAGCATAAAATAATATTTTTCCACTTTGTAATATGATTGATTTAAGCAAAATGCATTTAGTTTATGATATAGCTATAGAATACTATTAGGCATTTTTATAAAATTACATTGCATATATTTTCACTTTTTAAATATATCGAAGATATATAACGTTCCTATAGTCTAAATGCCCATAGTCATTTAATGTCCTATAACATGTTTCTTTATTCCAAGTCACCATCCCTATCGATAATCTCTACTGATGAATTACAATAAAATTTAAATGTGTCCTTTTGAGCGATCATTAAAATCTGATGATCTGAAAAAGTTTCTGTAATACCTTACAAAATTCCCCTTTCTTTAACTTCTTAGTTTACTTCTGTTTTGCTGCTGTTCGCCGCAGGCATTGCTACAAAATCATCGCGGACAAAATCGTCGTGGAGAAAACAACACAAAGAAAAAACACCGTAGAACAAAATATCGTGGAAGAAAAGTCAGAAAGAAGAAAACATCGTCGTCGAATATCAAACTATTCAAAAACATCTCGATTTTAAAACATCGTCGTAAAATACAGCGTGTCTCAAAAGTTCGGTGCTAAGCTTACCATGCTGGTCTGTCATATCATACGACAGTCAAGATTTACATAGGAACTCGTGTCCGAAAATGCGAACGGCGACAGCTAGAGGGCATTGTTCGCAAGCATAGAGGGGAAGAAAGAAAGATATCGAAAGCGGTATTAATATGACATTTATTGCAGAACACGGTTAAATCATATAAAAGATCTTCAACATTCCTTCCATTCGCCAAATTCCATGTTTCCTAACATCGACGCATGGGTTCACAGACCCGTTCAAAGTGGACAGGTGTGTCACGGACAGCTGCCGCGATCCTGGCGGCGAGATCCATGTCCGATGTTGTGGTCATGAGCAGCACAATTTCCGATCAATGAGCAGCACGATTTCCGATCAATGAGCAGCACGGTTTCCGAAGGAAACACTCCACTGTTCACCAATTGCACCGTATTCCGGAGTTAATTTCCAAGGGCATGCAAGAAAATTCTATCACCGCTGCTCTGTTTCTCGATGTGGCCAAAGGTCGTGTCTGGCTTGGGGGTTCACTCCACAAACTCATTAACCTGGGAATACCAGGTTACCTCGCCAACATCTTAAGTTCTTACCTTATAGGTCGGCAATTTGTCGTTCGTGTCAACAACACAATATCCACCCCCAGACCTACCCAGGCTGGCGTCCCCCAGGGATCTCTTCTCGGGCCCCTTTTATTCAATCTTTATACGAGCGACATCCCACAGACACCATACACCACATTCGCACTCTATGCAGATGACACTGCGATTCTTTCACAAAGTGCACATTTTAGCTCAGTCATTACAACACTACAAAACCACATTCATGCACTGTAATCTTGGCTAATGGCCTGGAAGATACAAATTAATGTACAAAAATCGGATGCCATTCTGTTCACCAGAAGAAAAAAGGGCATCAACATGGATGTTTAGCTCCAAATGTTTGGAGAATCAATCCCCTGGACCAAGCACACCCACTACCTTGGCGTTATTTTAGATGACCAACTCACATGGACCCCAATCATTACACATATTATCTCTACGTTTCGAGTACGTAAGAGTACACTTTCCCCCTTAATTGCTCGGAACTCGGCGTTATCTCTAGAATGCAAGTTGCTGATCTATAAGACCATTTGCGGCTTGTGCTTACTTATGCCTGCCCTGTTTGTGGATATGCCTGCCCTACGGCTATTAAAAAGATTCAAGTGTTACAAAATGTTGTTCTCCGTGAAGTGGCTAAAAACCGTTGGTTCATAAGAAACACGGCCATACACCGTGAGCTCAAAGTTTCTGAAATTCAAGTGTATTTTGCCAAACTGGCAAAAAAATTTATGATACCATTAGCAATGTGCATAATCCTGCTATCCCTATTCTTTACTATGACTTTGTAAGCAATGTAAATAAGAAACGGCCTCGTTCGGTACTCAGGCACCTCCCTTAAATTTTGTAAATAGTGTATATATTTACTTAAAAAAAAAAAAAAAAAAAAAAAAAAAAAAAAAAAAAACTTAAAATATGCCAAAAAATAAAAAAAAAAAAAAATTCTTTACTCTTATTTTTTGTATTGTGCATTATTCTGTGTACCTATATTTAGCAGTACTTTTGTGTCTAGTATATATTATCTGTTGTACTCATGTGTCTATGTTTATAATACATGTTAACTGTGAAGCACTGATTTTGGTGATAAAAGGCATTACTTTTGCGCACTTACCTTGTACATCTCTTCACTTCCAAGCGTCTCGACCGGCTTAGCTATTGGATTCGTTCGGCTACAAAGACTGTTTCAGATTTTCTTTCACATCTTTACTGAACTCTTATGTGATTTTTATTGTCACTCATCCCCAAGTACTTTTGTGGACCGTGTTAAAAAAAATTTCGAACTTTCATGTGTTAGAAAATCGGCTACAATGTTATTCACGGGGTAGCGCCCTGCGCGGGAACCAGCATTGCAAGACGACGCCTTGCCTGAGCCGATGTTGTGGTCATCTCTATACCATAGACTTCATGTATCCCCGAAGGCATAAATCCAGGGGAGTCAGATCGTGGGAGCGTGGTGGCCATGCAGATGGTGCGCTTCTGCCAATCCATCAATCAAAATATGTTCTACCGAGGTGTTCCCGCATAGTGCTGCTAAAATGTGCAGGTGCTCCATCATGCTGAAACTAGATATTTCGGCGAGTAGCTGCTGGAATGTCAACGATCAGATCTGGCAAACATCGTTTCCACAAAATGTCCATAAAGAACTAAGTTAGTGAACAGGTTCATATTTCTTCTGCAACGCCCTCGCCTGAAGCGATCACACTTGCCCCACTCTCCCATAAGCCAGCAAACATTGCCCTCTGGCGGTTGTTGTTTGCATTTTCAGACACAAGCTCCTATGTAAATCTTGTTTGTCATGGTATGGCAGTGCGCCGCGAGCTGAACTTCCGTCCTTAGGATTACTATCGGAATAATATTCAGCCCGCGGAGAAATCTACCACCAGCGACCCACCGCCTCAGGAGAGGCCGGCAGATCATGCGAGCATTTATTGAACGAAATTCAAGATTACAAATACATATGTTCCATAATTAATACAATGTCATCTTTTGCCTTCCGGCTACATTAGGTTCATATTTATACAAAACTAATATACTAAATTTATGTACATGATTAAAAAGGGTGAGCATCCTTGCGGGTATACAACAATTGAAACAGACAAATTAAGCTGGCATTCACAAAGAGAATACAATGAGAATGAAAAACTAAATAATCAATCAATGTTAAAAATCAGAATGTCAAATCACAAAACATTGTACAGAGTTGCATGTACGACAGCATTATAATATAAATCAACGAGTTACACTGAGTGTTACTATAGTATTATCATCAAAAGACAGACAGTAAAAGAAAAACTATATGACCATGACAAGAGTTAAATTTGTAGTAATGTTAAATTTGTACAAAAGTTAAATTTATACTAGAAAATACATGATGAATATGCATAGTATAATGATGACACGCTGATTCATACAAACTGACAGAGGTAAAACAATGACATATCAAAACGTAGCAACTTATATAAATAGTCAGTGCCATATGACATACAGAATACAGAATGATGCGGCAGTGATGCAATTCTGAGAGATATATTACATCATTGACGCAGAATGGCAAGTCTATCACTGAACTCTAAAAGAATCTTTGTTTACAGGTCAGTGTGGATTACATTATATACGATTTAATAATGCATACTGTAAGGATCTTAAGTTTTACTAACGTTTATTTTATTTTAAATCTTTACTATCACTTCTTATTTTCTACTTCCGGCCAGAATTATAAGCGTGAAGGAGTTTATGCAAAGTTGTCTGGCGAACGCCAAGTATTTAAGTGTGGCCTTTTTGCCAAGCGAGAGAGAGGAAGCCGTGAGTTCGAAGCAGGCCGCTTACCTTAGAAGTTACGCAGTTGCTACTTTGCCTTCCAGGCCAGAGGTTTTAATCCTCTTGATAAATTAAACGTATTGTAGTGTTCACAGTCTCTGTGCTACATACGCTTTCCTGTTATTATAAGGCCAATCTTCGTTTATTTTCTAAAGTTAAATTAGAGTTTAGTTTTATTTTGATATCTTTTAAGTTAGACCCCGAGTGGAGGGTCATTGTATTCCGAAGTACGGAAGTCATTGTATATAAAGAAAAATAAAGGGTTTTGTATACCCTTCGTCTGTATCCTGTCTACTTACTACAATTAGTGAACATAGCTTTAGTAAGCTCTCTGTTCCGAGTCAGGTCCTTGTGTTCCGAAGAAGGTAAGAAGGAACATTGACCCTGATAATAAGTAATTAAAAATGATTTCTGAAATGACTGTCAATGAGATTACCATTTTATTATAGTCATGCTAGTAAAGGAATGAAATAAAACATGAGTTCTGTTATATATTTCTGATTAACAACAGAGTAAAGCAGTGAAACATAAGTTTTATAAATCAGGCAGATCAAGAAAATACTTCATTCTATAAAGGTTTTGCCATGGTATGACAGACCAGCATGTTAAGTCAGGCAAAGATCTTTTGAGACACTATGTATATCGTGGTAACAAATGAAGCACGTACAAGTCATTGCATGACGATGACATCGCAGACAAATATTTTTTTTGTTTTAAAAGTTGAAAATGTACATTTGCATAATGATTTGTGAGCGCAAGAGGGAAGGAGTAATATTTTTACTTTGAATTAATTATTTTTTGCTTTAAACGCAAGAAGGAAACAAGCATTCAGAAACTGAAAATGAGAAGGAAAATTATTGTTAGGCATAGAATTTAAAGAATTATTTTAAACTTATAGAATTAACCATTATTTAATTAAGCTTTTTTATTAAGTTCTAGTGGTAGTTTTCATGAAAAATATAGCCTTAAAAAGATTAGAAAATTAAAGAGGAGCAACTACATAAAGTTACTTATATTAAAATTGTTTTAATTAATTTGTTCAGTTCAATTAAAATTGTTTAATTAATTAGTTCATTTCACGGTTTTGAGAGCAAAAGCTTCTTTTTTACGTTCTCAGCAAAAATTATTAATTAATTCAAAAATAGGAAAAATAGTGATAAAAATATTCCTCATTCCCTCTTGCGCTCACAAATCATTATACGAATATACATTTACAACTTTTAAAGCTTCAAAACCACATGTCTGCGATGTCGTCCCACGATGTTTTAAAACTCCGATGTTTTTGAACTGTTTTGTTTTCGACGAAGATGTTTTATACCGCCATGTTTTAAAACTGCGATGCTTTCTCCTTGCTTCCCTTTCTCCCACGATGCTTTCGTGGACTTCTTCACGACGATTTGTTGCGATAGTTTCCTTCGTAACCCTTTTTTTGTATGTTGATTTCTTATTTATGAGAACTTAATGATCCTTTCAGTAGACTCTTTATCAATAAAAATGGTGAGGGTTTCAGCATTATATTCAGTGTGCCTGCTTAATAAATTATCAACAACACTTATAATTTAAGTTTGAATTTTTCAAGATTTTGGTCTTTTGTTTCATTATCAAAGAATGTATTTATTTCTTTTTGGAACTGGAAAAATCAGTCATGATTTTAGGCAAAAAGTATTAATGGAATGCTTCGTTCTAAAAATTGTCAGAACGATAGAAAGATAATGGACTACCATGTTAAGAAATGTATAAGATCATCGACACATGTAATATCGATAAAAATAATAGTATTTTATCCATCCATCCATTTCTAGTTGAAAAAATAGATTTTGTTCCCTAAAAAATGATTTAATTTTTATAATTTTTTCTCCATTTTCGTCCAATTAAGCACCCAAAGTGTGCCCAGCTTACAAATTGTTGTTGCGATGATTTAAACTGTGTTAAGCGGTTTTCTTCAAATTCATTTTTGAGTTTATAATAAGAGAAACATTTCTTTTTTCTCTATATAAATATAACTTGATGGGTGGTTTTATGATTATTAAATCACAAACTGAAGATTACAGCAGTATTCATGAATATAGCAATTAAATTTTTAAACGTATCATTCACATTACTTACGAAGCTTTTTCCTTTAATAACGTCTTTCTAAATTGGAAAATTATTTTAATGAAGCACATACTTTTTTAATTATGATAGAAATAATTATTTTGAAAAACGTGCTGAAACTAAAAATGTTAGCAGTTTCTATAAATTTAAATCTACGTTTATTAGTTGTATAAAAAGAATTAAAAAAAAACAGTATTTTAAAAAGTAATATTTTTTTTCCTTTCAGGTGAATTAGAGATTCCAAGGCTGTGGGAGTTTATTTCAGAGACAGAGTTCCTGGAACACCCACAGCAATAAATTTGAAAATTTGAAACTGCAATTAAATCATTAATAATGTTATAGTAGATGCGAATTTTGAGAGTTAATCAATATGCTTAAAAATATGAAATAAAAATTGCGAAAGAGAAATGATGTTAACTTGGAGGACTCATGCTTTAATTTTCCTCATAGATTAAAAATATTATCATATTTGTTTTCGTTTTTACATCACAAATTAATGAAAATCTAACGAATCATGTCCTGAGACTGGACAAGACATAAGATGTTCTGAAGCATTGGATGACTTTTCCCGCAGGGTGCCGGCTAACAGAAATCAGTTAAAAACGACAGAAGTTGGCTGACACTTGCTATGCTAAGTTCATCGGATGACTGTTCCCGTAGGGTGCCGGCTAACAGAAATCAGTTAAAAACGACAGAAGTTGGCTGACATGTGCGATGCTAAGTTCATCGGATGACTGTTCCCGCAGGGTGCCGGCTAACAGAAATTAGTTAAAAACGACAGAAGTTGGCTGACACTTGCTATGCTAAGTTCATCGGATGACTGTTCCCGCAGGGTGCCGGCTAACAGAAATCAGTTAAAAACGACAGAAGTTGGCTGACATGTGCGATGCTAAGTTCATCGGATGACTGTTCCCGCAGGGTGCCGGCTAACAGAAATTAGTTAAAAACGACAGAAGTTGGCTGACACTTGCTATGCTAAGTTCATCGGATGACTGTTCCCGCAGGGTGCCGGCTAACAGAAATCAGTTAAAAACGACAGAAGTTGGCTGACACTTGCTATGCTAAGTTCATCGGATGACTGTTCCCGCAGGGTGCCGGCTAACAGAAATCAGTTAAAAACGACAGAAGGTGGCTGACACTTGCTATGCTAAGTTCATCGGATGACTGTTCCCGCTGGGTGCCGGCTAACAGAAATCAGTTAAAAACGACAGAAGTTGGCTGGCACGTGCGATGCTAAGTTGCCATGGAAACCAGCATCTGAAGAGTAAAGAAATAAAGTTATATAAAGGAATGACATTCCCTGCAAGATGCCAGCTAACAGAAGTCTGTGAAAAACGACCAGAAGTTGGCTGGAACATGCTGGAAACGAGCAGGCAAGCTGGTTGCTGCCGTGATTGAAAAAAACGTCAATACCTTTTCTCGGAGAAAGGTAGAGTAATCTCACTTTTCTCGAGAAAGTTGCCGGCTAGTTCAAGACTGTGAAAAATGTCCAGAAGTTGCTTGGGATGCGCGGTGCAGGGTTGCCATGGAAACGAGATGCACAATTGATTGCCACGTTGATTGAAGAATGGAACATTGACTTTTCTCGAGAAAAGTAGATTAATGTCACTTTTCTCGGGAAAGGTAGGGTAATCAGTAATCTGAGCGAAAATTGTTAAAGAGCCTTGAGCCTTGATCAATGATCGCTAAAATGAAGGGTCAATGACCGAAAAACAGAGGGGTGGAAGATGTCCGATCAGAAGACACTTGAGGGAGACCAATTCGTTATTCAAAAGGAGAAAGTGTTTAAATGGCTTTAAAACAATTACAAAGGTGAAAATCGAAAGTTTTTAGTTAGCTACAATTATGTTAATCTGATGATTAAGAAGAAAAAGTAAAGTACGCGAAGAGAAGTTAAGGAGACACACCGTCAGACTGGAGACAGATGAGACACACATGAAGGGCCACCTTCAAGCATAAGCACACATGAAGGGTCACCTTCAAGCATCTTCAAGCATAAGTATTAACTTTATGCTTTCGAGACAATGTATGAATCGGACTTCTTGTTCTTTTGAGATTAAGGATGAAAGTTTTGATTTTCGAAACTAATGGAGAAAAACAAGAAGATAATTGTGTTGTTGTATCTAAAACTTAATTAAATCGTTTATTTTATACATGAAGACCTCGCATTGAATATGCTAGGAAATGCTTAGTTATGGTAAAAATGATATAGGATCAGAATGAGAGAAGTTTGATATCTTTTAAAATTAACACTATAGTGTATTTTAAACTAAATTTCTTTGGAATTTTATTCAATCAATTCTTTTTTCAAGTGTTTGTTCTTGTTGTTGCGTGAATTCTTTTTTGGTCTGTTTTACGAAAGTTTGCTCTGGTTGTCTCACTTGTACTGCTTCTTTATGAAGTGACTTTATTGCAGTTGAAGCCAATTCCCCTTAAACTGGTTTAAGTAATCTTGACTCAGTTCAAGAATTGGATTGAAAATCTTATCCCGGATGTTCTTTACTCTTTTTAATTATATTATTTTATGGTACAGTGATATTTCATCTTCTCATAAACTAACATGTTCAGATTTATTTAAGTAACTATGAAAAAGATTTGTAACTATATTATTTACTATATTTTATATAAATAGGTATTTTCTGTCATCATATAGGCATAAATTAATACGACTGTAACGTGTTGAACTTTGATAGTCTAGTCAAAATTTCGATATTATTTTGTGATTGTTTTTATTTCAGAAAATGATAAAGAAGACAAATATGTAAATTATAAATATAGGAAACTTTGTATGGTATTTTGTAAACTAATAAAATAAATTTCATAACAGAAATACGGTTTGTTTTCTTTAGTTACTTTAACTGAAAACAGGTTTTACTGAACATAAAAATGTAGAGTTGAATGCTAACATACATTATTGTATAAGATAATATAACAAAGTCACCATGAAAGAAATTATGTCTGATTATATCAAAGTATTAACACATTAATGCATAGTTTTTCTAATCATTACAAATTTTGTGGCACGTTACGAGGTGTTTTTGAAGCATACATTAAAACATCATAAGATTTAAAAACAAATTAAGCCAAAATATTATTCAAAATTTGTTTAATTTATTGAAAAGTATAAATTTAGCTGTGTTGTTGCACATATAGAAAATTGCAGCTAGATTTGATAATCGATAATTCTCATATATTAAAATTTTATTTACTTTGATATCAACTTTGAAAGAAATATTGTCTACATTGCTTTCCCATAACAACTTATTAATTCACAAGAAATTATATTCTATAAGTCAGAATAATCATGCATTATAATCTGCGATTTGAGAATGCTATTGACCTACATATTGTTGCGTTTATCCCACTTCTGATACCAATTGTTACGTTATTTCTATACTCTTCTGACACCAATTTTTACGTTATTTTCTTCGTTCACGTTCGTACGGGGTTCGTAGATTTCGAGTGAATAACGACGACACTTGATGAAGTATCGAAACACACTTTATTTATCAATATTAATCATATAGCTTCAAAATCACTTTTACAGTCATCGAACTGTTATAAACACGCTGACACGTTCAGCGACACAGCCTTCACACTGTCAGGCAATAACTGTGGAGACAGCTTCACTGCAAAGCACCCGAGTACAGCTCTCAACTCTGCTTGGTCGTTCTCGGAACTCCACGTACTCTCGAGACTCTCGACGCGATGCACTCAACGATACACAAGAGTATAGGTCTGGACTCAGCACAGTCTAAGACAAAACTCGATGATGCACTAATTTGCGATGCACTAAAAGACTCTCTCGATGCACTCGACGACTAACTCAGCGCTAGACTTCGAGACACTCGCTCAATGACTGACTCGCTCAATGACTGACTATCGCTAGACGAGGCACACACTCTGAGACACTCTTCCTGACTGCAGACCAGCACGGTTTATATAGCTTTCGGCTTGTATTCGGGAACATTCTGGACTAAACCGGTAAAAATTCGTTCCAGAAGGTTCTCCAATCATCCATGGTATATCGCCAATTTTGTCGCCAAATGTGGCAATCCTGCCTTTCCTTGCTATTTTATGGCAACCCTAAAACTGCTTAAAAAAGAACACTCATAGAGGCTATGATCCCAACTAGTAATTACACAGCTCTCTCAATATGACTGCATTCTGGAAATGATTGTGTGTCCTTGTGGCCGTCGTTCATACTCCTGTAACAAAACTTTCTCATATTCCATATAGACATGAGCAAAACTGCTCCTTTAAGGAATTAGATTGGAATCGTTCGCTCACTAAAGTGAACCAGTTCTTTTTAACGATTTACCGCTCATTAACAATGACTTTGATGAATGCGTTCGGAACAGGCATCAAGAGCATGAATCAAGAGCGGTGTGGAAATATGGGGAGAAAGCAGAAAGAATTGAACAAGGAGTGGGATCGCTGGAATCAACTCAAACAAACCGGTCTCTCCCCGGACGGTTTTCTTTCAACTGTCCTTTTGAGATTCCTTAAGGGATGTTGGAACCCAAAAATCTTAAAAAAATTGTGATTTCGGATTTCTGCACTTTCAGATTCTCTACACTTTTATCTTTCTAAAAACACCATTCTTTAATCTCTATGAAAATTAGAACTGTAAAAAATCTGGTTTTAATTTATCATCGACTGCTTTGATCAATGAGGATTTTTACATAAAAACGCGTTTTTCTCCAAACGTGGTTTTTTTTATACTCGATGTACCTTTTCTCAGGAATTAATGCTCACAGGTATCTAAGATTTTTATGGCTTATTTATTAGGTTTCCTAATATTTACTAAAATGTGCTTTTTATGAAAGCACATTTTAGTAAATATTACTAAGTATTTTACTATATTTTAGTAAATTAGTAATTACTATATTTTAGTAAATATTTACTAAGAAAAAAAAATTTAACCTTTTTTTTTGTGTGAGAAAGGTGCTAAATTTTACCATGTTTAACAAAACATTCTGTAAATTAGTCTAAAATTCAAAATTTTTCAAAAGCTCATTTCAGTATAATCAGATAGGTATACTTTAATTACACAAAAAAATTTCAAGCGTGTATCTACAGCAGATTTGAGAAAAGTTACATCGAAAATGGCCAATTTAACATTGTCGGTATAGGGGTTGCTGATAGTACTCCTTAAAAACCTTTCTGCATGGAACAACAATACAATTCTGCAATAAAAAGATGCTAAAGGTTAAAAAATAATGAAAACTAAACTCACTTTTGTTAAAGATTATTCTATTTTATTAAACACACACACACACACATAAACGCATACACATAAAAAATAGGTTAGAGACATTTCCGCTAAAATATTAAAGGAACGACTGCTAGGATTTACATTAACAGAAGTCAAATTTTTAGCATGCTTCCCATTCCAAATTTTTAGCATTCCCATGTTTTATTTTCTGGTAGACATGGGAGTTTCGTCCATATTCCCTATTTGGGAAAGTTCAAAAGAAGTCCTTTTTCTTACATCGATAATGTATTTTTGAAACTCCACAACCTTTGCTTCCAAATCAGATAGTAACTTTTGCACCAGTTTGGTGCGTTGGCCTAAACACAAACCACGGCGATTCATAAATTTAGTGCACCAATGTGTTGATGCACGAAACGTGTTTGGAACACCATACTTTTCTTCTTTTGCAAGCTTCATTGCTCGTAAACGTATGCCAGTTCTAGTGACAATGAAACCATTCTGCCAGCACTCTAAAACCCAAGCATACAAGTCATTTTCGAGTTCTGGAAAAGGAGCTTTTCCATGTCGCGACGCCTTTTTCTATTTCGGGATTTTTTATGGCCCCGCGTATAAGTCGACCTCCCACTTTGAAGTCTTTTTTTTTTGTCCAAAATATCTCGACTTATACGCGGGTATATACGGTACTTAATTCAACCAAGTATTTATTATTTATGTCGATAAAACATTTCTTAAATCTACAACCTAATTCGAGAGTATTCGAAGGAACCACGTTACATCGAGTCCAACTTTAATCCAGACTAAAAGGCTGACGAAGAATTAAAACCTCGAGTGGAACAGAATCGCTTCAAGAAGAACGTCAACATCCTGTCCCCATTATAATGACGAATAGACATTAGAGGAGGTAGAAAATCATTAATACGTTTTCAAGTTAAACAAGCTTTACAAAAGCCTATATACACTGATGCAATATCACTTATGAAACAACAATATACAGATATAATGTACATGTAAAATCCATGTAAATAACATAATATTTAAGATACTAATCAATAATTACATCCATTTACAAACGACGATGTATTTTGTTACCGAAAGCTAATATGTTTCAGTTCTATTCCTAATTGTAACATCCTGACCACATAATCCAGAACCGAATCGACATTGTTAACAGATGTTATTATGGAATACGAAACCAAATTAAATAAAAATACTCAAGTAGTAAAACTAAAATACAGTCGTTGGAGATTTTATTACCACTTATAGTGTTGTATAGAAATGAATAATATAATAATGAATAATGCAAATATAGATAGAATATTGACATTTGAACGAAAGATTTTGAGAAGAGTTTTTGGAAGAGTAAGAGAAAATGTAGGATGGGGAATAAGATGTAAGTTTTAGCTACAGCAAAAATTTAGGGAACGAAATACTATAAAAATCACTAAAGCCTCTTAACTAAGATGCCTTCTAAAATTCCAATTAATAGACTTAATATACAGATATAGAGATTAATACCCAGGGAAGAAATTGACATTCCAAAAGCCTAAGGGAAACAGAAGCTTACGGACGAGGTGGCTAGACAATGTGGAAAAGTGATTAGAGAGCGTTGATGTCAATAGGTGGAAGACTGCAGTGTTGAATATGTCAAGATGACGGAAACTGACTGAGACAGCCTTGACCGAAAATTGACTGCAGATCGTAAGAAGAAGAATAAGACTACATTATCCTTCCCCTGGTGCATTTTGGTAATTCTTGCAAGATGGCATTTTAGATGTCCTGCGTCATCAGATTCTTGAGCTAAGCAACATCACCTCCTTAAAACTATACTAGTCCTCTGGGCATTTCGGTCTTCGTCTATTTAAACATTCACTTTCCAAATTAATTTCATCGATTTTGGAATAAATTGGCATCTACTAAGTCTATTAATTGGAATTTTAGAAGGCTTTCTTACCTCTACCCGATACGAAGCTTTTTAACGCACCAAGGCAGGCTTCACTAGCTAATCCATGAACGATATCAAAATGAACAGCTTTAACAGCAACATATATAAAAATACAAAGAAAACACCTATTAAAATTATTTGTTCTACCCAAAAAGGTTTTTGTGCTAAAAGGCCCATCAAAATCAACCGCTGTTTTATCAAATACCCTTGAAAGAGTCATTTGAGCTCATGGTTAAACCTACGATTATTTGCTAGATATAATTTGCATTTACCTTTAGACCAGTTACACATTTATGCAACAATTTTCTTATAACACTTCTTGTCCTGACCATCCGTAATCTTTGTTCTAATGAAAGAAAGAGTTCCTTTTGCACCTATGTAAAAATACAAAACACAATAATGATTAACAAGATATAAGAACATATGATTATTAGGTAGTAATATGGGCTGTTTCTGATGAAACCTCAGCGAAGAGTTTTTTAAGCGTCCACCAATTCTTAATATTCCTTCAGAGTCTGGAAATAGGCAAAAATTTACCAAGTTACTAGCATGTGGCAAGGGTTTCCCTTTTTTAAGCACTTTTCTTCAGGAAAGGCCTTTGCTTGAACTTTTTCTACATTGCGCATCAAGGCACGGGAAAATTCTTTATTTGAAAAACACAAACTTTTTC